AACAGGAGAGGCAGACCCTTTGTTGAAAGCATGCTTGGGGTTTAAGAATAACAAAATGCATGAATGAATTGAGAGGAAAGGAGATGGACTGCTAGTAGTACCTGTACTTCAGTGTGAAATGTTTGATCAGACATGTTCTTCCAGTTCAATCTACTTTGTAATGATCTGTTTTGGATCTATTTGCAAGAACAACCTATAGCTTTCTGGAATAGTCAATTAACTTATACATAACCGATTAGAACTTAATGTGCTCATAATTACTCTTCTCCTCTCTGAATAAATCACATTTTTACAGTAGATTTATCAATGAATTATTTTCCATCTAAATCACAGTAATTCACAGCTGCTTCAGGAAATCCAACAACAAAGAAGTAAAATTAATGCCAAGCTCATATGTACTAAGGAAGCTCTAAGGTTACAATATATTATATAGCAGTCCTGCTATCTACAGTGGATTCCCTCAAGACCTCAGTGGATGTCAAACTCTACAGAAAGTACTGAGCCCTGCATATACATGCTTCTACTATATATACTATATGTAACAACAAAGTAATCAGTTAATTGTCTTAGCAGAGATACTGATTTTTTCCTCTTCCTATTTCTCACAAACTGAAGGTCTTAAATATCCAATGTCATTATAATGGCTTTTATTATGTGTTTATCCTAAAAAATAAACCAGTGTTAGTGCATGAACTACCATCTAATCATTTCTCTCACCCATAAAATACTAACAACACTTAGTACAGTAGTCTGCAGTGACCACTTAACTGAAAATAAAGAACTATTTGTTATGACTTTATAATTCCTCTCTATAAAAATTATCTTGTAATTCCATTTACAAAGAGATATAAACAGTACAAGAAAAAGCACAAGAGACTGAAGAATTAGCTACTATATTACATCATTATTCCAGTAGAAGACTACTAGAACACTAATGTCATTGTCTCTACTATCTCGAAGTTTCAATGTTAGTCACATTCTCTACAAATCTAAGTATAACTATGGGTGTCATAATCACTAAGGGAATTTAGATGTTTTGTTTTTTCCCCACCCTCAAGACTAGCACTTTACCACTTGAGCCACATCTCCATCACCAGCTTTTTGTGGTTAATTAGAGATAAGAGTCACAAACTTTCCTGCCTGGGCTGGCTTCAAACAGTGATTCTCAGATCTCAGCTTCCTCAGTAGCTAGGGTTACAGGCATAAGCCACCAGTGCCCAGCATTAGTAACTCTATTAAGTATTTTCTAACCTAATGAAAAATCCCTTCAAAAAATTGCTTACTTACATTTTTAAAGAAAAGAATGAGTCAATGAATAAATAAATGACACTAAAACTTGAGGTTTTATGATTTTTATCAGGTTTCAGTGAATTTATTCTGAAAGTTTTTGAGAGGATATAACACTATTCAAAACCATTTGAAGCTAGAGATGTAGCTCACTGGTAATAATGTTTGCTTAGCCTACACAAAGCCCTGGGTCCAGTCCAGAACTGAAAAAAATAATTTGTAAACAAGAAAGAAAAAAAGAGACCAAGGACTATTACTCAAGTCTTAACATCAGAGTCTCCATGTACTTTAAAGAATGTAAGCAGTAATCTTTCTTCAAGGTGAATTTGAGTTAATATTTTAAAAAAATATTACTACTTTAACACACTAAATACATTTTTTAGAAAAAAATCAAAACTTAAAATTTTAAGAAATCAAACTCAAAACTGATTTTAAGAAATCAGAAACACATTTTCTGCATATGATAATTCAGTTTGTAAAAATCCATCTTTTCTAAAGAAAATGTGTTAGTTATGTAAGTGTCAATCAGTTAGGTCCTTCCAAAGGTATCTTTGGGCATCTCTAGGTGAAACACTGAGATTGGGCACTCCTGTCAGGCCACTTCACTTTAATAAAATGGAAAAGGGAAAACAAAGGGGGAAGAAGTGACAACAATGTTAAGTGGTGAGATATTTCTGTACAAAATAATTAAAAGTCCCTAAAAGCCCTAAGATTCAAAACAATTTTCTTTACTACCTTGGCTCTACTAAGAAGATTAGATGGATAAAGTGGATAAACTTGCAAGACCTTCTATTTGGAAACACAATCTGCTAGATTAAAAAAGAAGTGCTATTTAGAACAGGACCCAAAGACTTAACCTTATAATTTGAATTTTTAAAAGATCCTCTCAAAGTTTACAATTTAAGAAATAAAGGCTTTAGGGACTGGGAATGTGGCTTGGTGGTAGAGTGCTTGCTTAGCATGCATGAAGCCCTGGGTTGGATTCTTCAGTACCATATACACGGAAAAAGGTAGAAGTGGCGCTGTGGCTCAGATGGTAGAGTGCTAGCCTTGAGCACAGAAAGGCTTAGAGACAGTGCTCAGGCCCTGAATTCAAGCCCCAGAACCAGCAAATAAATAAATAAATAGTAAGTCATGCTGGAAAGATATACAACATATACATTGATGGCATACTTCAAAACAAAGGATCCATAACAATGACACAGAATAGTTTTTTAAAAGGCAGCCTGCTTTTATTAGAGCTGGGTTTCACCACCTGACTGACAGTTGTGTGACTATAAGCAAATTTTGTACTGAGCTCCATTCCTTTATCTACATCAACACCAGTGACTTTAATTCTCATTATGAGACCGAGAACACATCTTAGATGTATTGTAATTCATTCCCTCACCTGCAACTTGGATCTGCTCAACATTACCAATCATTTAAAAGAGTGGCTATACAAACAAGCAGACACTTCGTAAGGCAGTCTTCATCCTCACACTTCTTTTTTTCCTTTACTAAGCTAAAATCAGCTTCCTAGTTACTTCAACCCATTATTCCCACTCTAGAATCTACTAGATTCTAAACTCTATGTGGACAGCAGCTGTCTATTCTTTATCAGCTCTCAAGTCTCAGAACCTGGAAAATGGACGAGCACAGAACAAAGTGCCCCAAATCTGCCAACTAGCATCTACTGATGGGTGAAAATGCCCTCTAATATAAATAGCACAAATTAATACATTTTTGGAGATGACCATTTAGTGCTAAAGATTTAGAAGCTAAAATAGCATAATGAAAGTCATGTTGTGCTTTACCATACTTATTGTGTTCAAGGATACAGATCATAAAGAAAGAGACTTCTTTGGAGGTAGAGGTGTGGCGCAAGTGGTAGAGTGCCAGCTTGAGCAAAAAAGACAAGCTAGAGAGTGAGCCCTGTGTTTCAAGCCCTGGTATACACATATGCACGAATGTACACACATACACATACACACACACATCAGGAAGACCTCAGGCTCAACAAACAAACTGGATATGGTATCATGTAATTATAGTCCCAACTACAGCAAAAGCCTATATTGCAGGATAACAGTCCAAGAACCATCTAGGCAAAATGTAAGATCCTATCCAAAAAGCAACTAAAGCAAAAAAGGCTGAGATGTGGCTTAAGGGGTAGAGTACAAACATAGGAGCTCTTGAATTTAAACCCCAGGTACTGCCCTCTAAATAACTTAGTTCAAGTTATTAATTGAAAAGATACCTAGAAAACATCAGAATTGACACTGTGATAGATTATCACAATGTCACAACTTTTCTAGTGACTTAGCTTCATTGCTATAAGTAAGCATTTTGCAGCTTAAACAGTAGAACTCATTTATAATTTAGTTATTTATATTCCAGAGCAAAAAAGTAGGTTTCAAAGTATGTTCTATTTCACAGAAGTAGAAACCAAACATAGTGAACAAGTAGTTCACTATTCTTTTGCAACTCTGTAGGAGTATTTCCATTACAAATTAAATTTTCCTGACACTCAAGTCTTAAAACTGTCACTGTGTGCTCATAATCTAAACAAAGCACAATTAGTAGGGTACATAGGCCCCACTCTCCACGCAGAAATATTCCAAATCCACAGCATTTCTGGAAGATGTGGCTTGAACCTGTGGTATAAAAACAGGGCTAACAAACAGGGCTCTTCAACTTCTACTAAAGGACATTAAGGTAGGTTAATATAGGATTGCTATGATGATGGGCAAAATCCGAAAGGTTCAAACATTTTCATGAACACAAAATTGATGGAAGTCAGGAAGAACTGGAAAAAAAAATCTGCTGGTTTAAAAGAGATGTTAAAGTTTGAACTTTAACATCCCTACAACAAGCCTTCCCAGACCAAAGTGGATGAAGGCTTTAACCTTATAAAACTCCCTTTTCCCAGTCCATTTCTACCATAGTAAAAGAAAATCCAGCTACAAATCACAACAGCTTGTTACATAAAATTAAGCTATTGGGTGTAGGAGGGCTCTGTAGAACTTAAGACCACTACCTATGGTTATCACAGGAATCTGCACGGTGGCTTCAAGCACTAGGCCCAGGACCTTACACCACCCATAAGACACTTGAGGGGCAGAGGCTGGATCTGCTACAAACCCTAGCCCCATGGGGCAGTGACAGAACTGAGATCGCACGGCCCCCATCCCGCACTTCGCCTGCGGACAGCAGTCCTTTGCAGTGCGGCTGTCTGTGCCCTCAAAGTTGCCAGAGCGGCAGTCAACCCCGCCGCAGTGGCAGGGCTAAATACACGCCCTTCACGCCAGTCCGCCGCTCACGAACGATTTCTCAACGGGGGTCCTACGCTGCTGTTGCAAGGCCGCTGCTCACGGGAAGTTTCTCAACAGTCCCAGGGCTGACTCCCGGGCTGGCGGGGCTCCTTTTCATCACCCCCGGGAGATGGAGCTGCCTAGGTAGCAGCACCGAGTGCCCCAGAGCCCCGATCCCACGGAGAGACCTCCAGCGCCAGAAAACTATACTGCGGCGGAGAAAGGAGAAAAAAGCATGCGCTTTGGGCCTTACCTGTGCACCCGGGAGCGCCCTGCAGAAAGCAGGAGCCGGACACACAAGGGGTCCTTCGCCCTTCCCTCTCCCCGGAGGCCCGGCTTCCCTTTCCACCACACCCCGCCGCATCCCGGAGTCCACCCCCCATCACTGCCCGGCTCCCCCCACCCCCGCCATCCCCGCACCGGATCTTGTAGCTGGGCAAGGTGTGCTTGCGCTTGATGATCTTCTTGAGCTGGTTGACAATGATGGAGGTGAGCTGGGGCATGGGGCGCCCTTCAAACTGCGAGCGCACCTCGAAGTCGATCAGCGGGTCCTCGACGAAGGAGAAGAACCAGTGGGTGAAGGGCACGCGGGTGAAGACGAAGCGCAGCCGCCCCACCACTCGGGACAGCTTGACGAACAGGTAAGCCGACTTTCCGAAGACCAGGTCCACGTCGATGGCCAAGTGGAAGCCCCCGTTGTACTCCACCTCCGCCTCGAAGGCCAGTTCCTCCGGGCAGGTGGCGGGCAGCGCCTCCCCCTCGGGGCCGTCGGGGTCTCCGGCGGCCGAGGCCGCGACGGGCCGCACCAGCCGGATGGTCTTGATGAAGGGCACCGCCTCGCCCAGGAACACGTCCCGCAGGCTCAGCCCCTCCAGCAGGCGCCCCGCCGTCTTGGTCTGCAGCAGCTCCTCGAACTCCACCTTGATCTTCTTGGTGACCCAGCGGCGGGCCAGCGCCGTGTCCCGCAGCTCCCGGAACAGGAACAGGATGGTGGCGTTGAGGAAGTAGCAGGTCTCCCGCGTCGGTGGGGAGGGGGGGTCGGCGGCCGGGGCCGGGGTCGCGCCGCCCTCGGGGGAGCCCCCGGCGGGCTCCTCGGTGCCCCCGCCGCCGCCGCCATAGAGGTACTCCCTCAGGGACAGGCCCGGCACCGGCTTGATGTAGCGGAAGCCGTCGCCCGCACGGGCCGCCTCGTCCGCCGGCGGCTCCGGCTGCCTGCGGTACAGCAGCAGAAACTGGGCGAGCAGCGTGAGGAAGGAGCCCAGCACGGCCGACGCCAGGATCATGAGCAGCAGCCCCATCCCGCCGCCGCCGCCGCCGCCGCCACCCGGGTCCCCTCTTCCGCAGCCCCGCTCTCTTCACGCCACCGCCCCCGTGGCCTCCATCTTGAGGACATCAGGCGTCGGAGTCGGGACCCGCGGCCTGTTTGGTGGACTCCGGCCGGTGCGGCGGCCCGCGCCTCTTCAGACGCTCCCGGGGGCGGCTAGTGGCGGCGGCGGGGGCGGGAGGAGGCGGGCACAGCGCCTCCCCTCGGCCCCCGACGATTGGACGAGCGGCGCGTGACGTAAGGACGTGCTCGCTCCCGGCAGCGTCGCCAGGCAGCCGGCGTCCGGGCGCGCGGCGCACGGGTCCCTCCTCGGCACTCTGGCGCCCTGCCCGCCCCGCCCCCCACCCCACGCCCACATTCCATTCGCGGCCGCGCGCGTCGCGGCCCACGTGGCTGTCACTTCTGGAGGCGAGGCCGGCAGCTGGAAGGCTACGTGAGGGCACTGGTTGGAGGCTCGGAGTTCTGACTGGGACGTCCGGGCGCTCTCGTCCCGTTATCGTCTACGCCGCCCATCCCCCGCCGCTGGCCGGCGGCCCAGCCCGTTACCTCCGCAGCGCAGCGTTGTTCTCCCTGCAGTGGCGTTCCTTCCACCGCACTGTCTCCCCGCCTTCTCCGGAGCCCGGCCGGCGGTGGCGGCTGCCGGTGCCCGGCCGCGCCGCCCAGGACCTGAGCCTGCCCCCAGCCGACCAGAGACCGCCACGGCTCACCCTCCTCCCGACCAGCACAGGGGACGGAGGGACGGAGGGCAAGGCCTTAAGATGGGGCTACCTTTCCGCTACCTTTCCGCTAACTATGAGAGGAGCTCGAAGTTTCCTTGAGAAGTGGGAGGAATTTGTCGGGAGGTTGCATTAGTGACTTCACACCAAGCTCCTCTTACCCCCTGCTCCCTCCTGGGCACGCAGCGCAGCCTGGTTTGTCTGACACGAACCCCGAACCCCTCAGCTCGTGGGCACGACCCCAACCCTCACACCAAGATTGCTAAAGGAGGCTGATCTGCTCCCCCGCGCTCCCGAGTTGAGAGAGGGGTTCAGGGAAAGAGGCTTTTGCACCTTTGACCCCAGTCATAAAGTTAATGAATCCAGGTTGCCTAGCACCAGTACTGTTCCTGAGACCTCGGTACTTAGCATAGATGCTTTTGCCCCTCTGACCACACTGACATTACAAAACTAGTTTTACAGAGGTCCTGCCTTAAACCTCAGGCCGTTTCTAGGTGATCCTGAAGTATCAGGGTATGGCTCGTGTCTCACCTTAAAGATCTTCAAGCCAGGGATTCTCTTGATTCTGGGTGATTCTAGAACAAAAATCAAAAGTTCTGATCCAGCTGGGGTGGATTCAGAACTTTGGAACCAGTCTGATCTCACCTTACCTATTGGCTTCCCAAGTCTGAGACCAGAATGGCTCTATTACTAATACTGGTGTCTGCTGAGCTGCTAGATTCAAAACCTATCTGAGATTTCAGTAAGCTGCTGGCACCTTCTGTTCTCATAGTCACTCTCTGTTTTTAAGTTTTTCTCTCGATTCCACAGTGTTACGTCTCAAGTGGGAACTGTACACACTTTCTTCAAATTGTTAGAGGAGCTCTTCATATTAATGAGATATGAAGACCTCAAATTGTAGATCGGAACTGTGGCTCAACTGGCAGAGCACCAACCAAACAGTGAGCCAAGTGAACCCCAGGTCTGGATTCTAACTCCAGTACTACAAGAAAAAAAAATGTGAGTGGACTCCTAAAATGTGAGTGTATCCTAAAATATCCTCCACCCACTTTGCTTCCCACAGGCAAGTTGGTAGTCTTCATGGTAATAAGTACTTAGTCGTATGCCCCATCTCCCATTGTTTTCTTACTCCTCAGAATACCTCTGGGGATGCTAGATTTCCTTAGTCTTTTATTTACGTATTCTGTTCTTCAGGAAATCTTGATCTTCAGGATCACAGTCCAGAGTCACAAAGGAACTCAGGAATCCCCTTGGAAAGATAAAGGTGTTAAAGATGATTCACATTTATTAAACACCAATAATAAAACAGAAGATTATCATATGCCAGGCATGGAGCTACATATCATTTAACATACTGGAATGTGTTTTTTGATATTTGAAAATCAAAATATCATGACTATGAAATCAAATGCATTTTGTATTTAGGTGGTAATCCAATAATTTTGGTGTCAGGAAATAAGGCTGTGTTAATAGAAGTTTTGTTTCCTTAATAGTTCTCGGGAGAATATAAATTTAGCAATATAAATGCTGGTTCATAGGAACTTAGAAGTCTGAGAACCACTGGCTTTGACTTTGAAAACATGATTCTGAGTAGGTGTTTGAAGGAAGGTGTTGAACTGCTGACTCATTAACATGTTTTTTTCCCCTCCCTGTTGTTGTTTTTTATGTTGTTTTATGCTAGTACTAAGGCTTGAATTCTCTGAAGGCACTAGTTCTGCACCTGAACCTAGAGAGTCCCATGTCTCTGTTGCCCACTGTGGCCTGCTAGCTCAGTCTCAAATTCTGGAAAAAAAATCCCCAATTGGCCACAGTAATCCAATTACTGAGGCCATTGGCTCATAGCTCTTGGGTGAGGCAGTTTCTCTGAGGAAGGGTGTTGAGAAAGCATGACTGGCAATTCTAACTTGATGGGGGCAAGATGAAATTTTGCTTTGATGATTAGACAAGTGTTCTAGCCAGATGGAGGCAAACGCTTAGAAGTTGAAAGTCCTGCAGAATTTGGGGAAACTGAGGCAGGATGATTGGATGGTAGTATCAATAGAATTGATATTTATGAATAGAAGAGAAAAAAGATGGGGGTAGGATAGCAAAGTAAAGCCAACTGAATTACAGTGGAGCTTATTTCCAGGGAGAGGCTAGATTCTTTTATTCTTCTTAAAATCTGTAAAGATTAAAGCAAGAGTGTGATATTACTAGTTTTCTTTCCATCATCTCTACCACCTGCAAAATCTCAATGCTGGAATAATCCAACTGTCAACTCGACTACTCCTTCTACATCTGGAAGCCAGTTGTCTTCATTCTTATTAGGGCCCTTGGAGCACCATCCCAACCCTATACTTTTATCTGTTATTCTAGCCAGCATGCTTCCATTTCCAAGAAAAATTTCCTTAGATATTGACCAGTTTCAGGTCTCTCACCCTTGCCCACTTCTTCCTCTGCATGTTCAAGCTCACAATCATAACAGTCCTATCTTTTTATGCTTCTTTAGTGGCAACAAAAATAACAATAGAAACAAAAGAAGAAGGAGAGAGGAAAGAAAGAAAAAAAAATCCCAAACCAGCAGGTACTATAGATCTACTGCCTTCCAGGATCTGTCCACTCTCCTTTCATTCTATTTTAAAAAGTGAAGACAAAAATTTAAGGAATATCCAACATTAAACCCTTCAGCTTCTACTCTTTTTCAACAGAATCCAGCCTTTAAAGGACTAGCCAGTTGTCTGGTAGCCTCTTTGCCTTCCATTCGCTTCACTGGTTATACTACTACTTCTGCCTGAACAGCTTCCCTTCACCCCCAATTACTTCCTGTGGCCCTGTCTTTCATCAGAATTCTGACAAAAAGGGATCACTCTTTCTTTCTTGAAACCCTTCCTTCCCTTGACAACGCCATAAAGAACATCAAGTAAATGTAAACTTTTATACACACTTCCCTGTTTGGGTTCAGAGCAAAAGAAACTTCCCTTTAAAGATACTTGTGTGTCTTGAGGTGGTAACAGAAAAAAAAAATCTTCCCTGAAGAAACCTGTGGGTGTAGGATGACCTTTGATGTGAAAACTTGAAAAATGTTGGGCAAATTAGGATAGGTTGGTCCCTGTCCTTGAGTGGTACTTTTAGGAATGGAGATAAAACCTGACTTCCCCACTTTCTGAGGAGTCTTGCAGTGCCATGAGTAGTGGAGGAATAGTATCAGTAGTTTTCTCAGGATAATCTAATGATACTTCTCATTCTACTTTCTTTACACTTTATTCTACCAGCCAAATTCAAAGCTGTCCTTCCATTTGAGGCTACCAATTTCAACTAAGCTTAATCTCCTTCACAAACTGAGTTAATCCTCAATCTTAAGACTTCTTAGAAAGTAATTTTGATCCGTTCCCTTCCTGGGACAACTATAGCCAGTTCTGCCAGATTCTTTTTGTTTTGCTTTCTTTTTTTTTTTTTGAAACAGTTTCCCATTTTCCCCTTATTTTATTAGCATACATTAGTTTACATGCACATATATCGTATCTTCCAACCAATCATCCCCACATTTCCCCTTCCAATACAATTTCAATGGATATAAATTATTCTACTTTTGTACATGTTAACAATCTATTTAGACCTTATTCATCTTCTTTCACCATTGTTAGCCAAACCCCGTTGGCTAGTACCTCATTCCCAATAGAGCTTGTTGAAACAGGGTCTGCATATAGCCCAGGCGGACCTCAAATTCACAATACTCTTGTCTCTACTTTTCCAGTGCTGGCATTAGTAGCCTGTGTCCAGATTCTATTCTATTCTATTCTGTGATCTGTTTGTTTATTTTGGCAATACTTGGGTTTGAACTTAGGGCCTCATGCTTGCTAGGTAGCTTCTCTGCCACTTGAGCCATGTTCCCAGATCCCATTTAAATAGATGTGGCCTTAACCAGCTTTTATATTCCTCCTAAATTGTTCTCCAAGTCATTCTACTTCTGTTGTTCCCTGAAACTACTCCAGTTTGGGCCATTATCATTTTTGTGCCTAAATTTCTACTAGTATATTGTAGTTGGTCTAGTTGTCTCCAACTTCCCTTCCTGACTCCCTTCTTGTTTCTGCTGCCAAGTCAAATTAAGCTTGTTACCTATCAACTTCATTTCCTATGCTCTACCTCACTCACTCTTCAGCCATATTGCCATCTGGCTTCAACTCCTTTTTTGTAGGATAAAGGAATAATTTTGAAAATTAATTTTCCAAACAAAAAGGAACTTACTTGCCTATGGCCCCCAGCCAAGACTTGAACCCAACAATCTGCCAAACTACTAGTAGGTTACTTTTTTTGGGGGGGGTCCGGTCGTGGGGCCTGAACTCTGGGCCTGGGTGCTGTCCCTCAGCTCTTCAGCTCAAGGCTAGCACTCTACCACTTGAGCCACAGTGTCACTTCCGGCTTATTTTTCTTTTTGCTTATGTGGTGCTGAGGAATCAAACCCAGGGCCTCATGCATGCAAGGCAAGGGCTCTACCACTGAGC